ACTTTTTTCCAAATGTTTTTTGGAAAAAACTGGAGAAACGCTGAGACGATCGTCTCCATAATCTAATCAGGTTCAAGTCACATGAAAATACAGCGATTAAAAAAAAAAAGTCAAATCGGATCGTTTGTTCAGGAGGAATCGTGGCACAAAATTTGTGTCACAGACGTACGCACACACATCCACACATACAGACAGGTACCTGAAAAGGGTCAGAAGTGGTTCCAAAGGTCATGAAACGTGGAGAAATGCTTAAATTTCCACATTCGATTTTCGGGGTCATTACAATAACTTCCTCCCTTCGGGTCGGGAAGTTAAAAACGATGATATTCTTCCGCCCTTTTAGTGCACACGGGAAGGGGGTATTGCGTATCGACTATTGATGTCGGAAATTGATTTTGATTTCAGCTGAGACGGAGGAAGACTGGCCGACGTGTGAGGTCGACGGGAAGATATACAAGGCTGGAGAGTACTTCTCACCCGCTGGGGAACCGAAGAAAGATTGCTATTGTGGCGCTGGATATACAGGTTTCAGTATTGATGATCCATGAAATTGGATAAGTCTATTTCGTTTTCGAGTTCACATGACTTTTATTCGCGCCCTTTTGAATGTTCTCTCGCTTTAGTCCGATTTTGAGGTGAAAATCAGTTGAGAGCGCACGGAGAGAAATGCTCAGTAAAAATTACGGAACTCACAGTTAGCTCACCGATTACGGAATCGACTCAGAAAATTCAAGTGACGGTATCGTAATTTTTCACAGGTAATTCAGATAAAAATTACGTGTGCGCTTCAATTGTTGAAGAAATGACAAATCAGCGTCAAAGCGTCAAAGTGTATAGAGTGCAGAGTGAAAATTGCCTCAATTTCAAGACGCGGGAATTGCCCCTGATCTTAAAACCGCCTACAAAAAATTTTTAAAATCGCCTTCTCAATAATAAAAAAAAATATTTTGCAGGAGAAAATGTCGCGCCCTTTTGCACATCGGCCCCGGCCTCCCAATGCAGCATTGAATTGCGTCACGCGTACGATATTCACCACAAGTGTGCACCGGTCTACTCCTCCACGCAGTCCACATTGACTGAATGCCCCCGAGAATCTAGATGCCGTAAGTTCATGTCTACTCTCTCTTATCGCTCGACAATTACACTTCACTCATCACCTCTTCATCTGCCCCAATTGATTCGATCACGATAGCGAACGAGAGGGACGAAGTCATCAAGGGCAAAAACAAGTCTTCTTCATCAGAGAGTGACTCTTCAGAGAGCAGTGAGGAAAAATCAAACGCCGAGGACATGCAGTGTAAATTTGGGACTCTTAAAATGAAGATTGGGGATGAACTCAATCAGAAGACGAATTACGACTCGGTCTGTGTGAGATGCGTCTGCGAGGTTCCACCGGTTCCTACTTGCATTCGTCTGCCTGAGGATGTCTGTGATGTTACTGATCATCCTCCATTCAATTCAACTCCTAATTGATTAATACCTGAGAATATTTGTTATTGATGTTATTCGGTAATAAAAGCTTTAATGATTGAAGTAAGTAGCGATGATTACGTGAATCAGTTATTCTCAAAAATTGTAATTAAGTCAACTAATCGTTTATTATCACGTATGAAAAAATTCAATAGAATTCGCTAGAAAATTCTATTGGGAAGTCAAGAACTCGAATACTCTATTTATCGGACGGAATAGAAACTAGGGATGTGAGTGAGAAAATGACCGGTCAAATGACGGTCAATTACCGCGGTCATGACGGGTAATTACCACCTCTATAAATCTGACGATTCGGTCAGGAATTCGAAAAATTACCAATTCAATTCTGACGGTCAATTCTCATCTATATAGATGACACAGAAATTTTTATTCGGTTACTCGGTGTCGGCAAGGTTGCTGGCGGTCATAGGGACGCTACGTCGCCACTAGGGGTCTATGCGACACTAGATGACTAAATTCGTTCAGTAAGCAATTCAGGTGAAGAGCTGAGCGAGCTAGATGAGGGAGCCGGTGGCAATTATGAGAATTAAGGAGAGAAGGACAAAAGACGAGCCTCATCCAGCATCCTCCTAATTTAATATGAAGTTTTTGACCAAAAACAATATATACAGAGATATATATTTAACCAATTTTGTTGACGTTTATTAAGCTCATGAGTTTATCATGAGTGATCTCGAGTATCGAATTTATGATTGTTTTGTAATTCGTTCCAATGAACATTAACTTTAAATTATGAAATGCGATTCAATTCCTAACTAATGAAATAAAATAGCCAAAAATCTGACCGAAATAATTACCCAAAAGAAAATGACCGTCAATTTGTATCTATATAGAGGAATTTTGGTCATTTTCTCGAATTTTTTACGCTGGTTGTTCATGACGGTCATTTTGCATTGGGAATTATCTCGGTGTCAGAAAATGGTCAAAAAACGGTCAATTTTGCCTGACCTGACCGAATTGAAAAATGACGATCATTTCACATCCCTAAATTAGGAACCCATGTAAGAAAGTTGCGAGTCCTATTTCTCCCAAGGAGCTACTGTCGAGTGGCGAAAATGTAAACCCGTGCATGTAGGGTCCGCGACCTACGCCCCGCCCCCATCTAAGTTCCCAATAGACCTTTTCATTCTGAGTCACTAGATCTGCGGACACTTTTTTCCCATGTTAATTCCCCTAGGATTTGGGGACACTTTATCGAATTTACATATAAATCATGGTTTTTGAGCGCTCAAGTATATATCATTGTAAAGTTCAATATTTATCAGAATTTTCTATGGTTTTTTCGGAGATTTTTTCGTTGAATGAACGAAATAAATATTTTCCCTAGATTTCCAGAATGAAAAGTTCTATTGGAATTCTATGGGTTTTTTTTTAGGATTTCTATTGGAATTCTATTGAAATATTTTTTTACGGCCTTTTGAGTCCTCTTTTCGAGTCTCATTTCGGCACTCTATCCAACCCTATGCATGCGGCTGTGGATTCTATACCGTATCGTATTCGCATTCCTATAGAACATAGGAGTAGCATGGGAAACCACAGGAAATCCATGCCGGTACAGGCGGTTACTCTATTAGCAACCTCGCGCTCGCCGGGGCCTTCCGTTGAAAAATTCGGTTCGACGGGGAATCGAACTCACGTTTCGCACACTAGACTCCGGTCTAGCCCACTCGGCCACCGGCGTCGGTCTATTGAAAAATTTTATTCGTTTTTTGCCCAGATTCTTTTGGATATTCGATAAGAAAAAGTCAATAGATTTCGAATTGCTGTTTGAATTTTTCTCTTGAGATTTTTTCTGTAAGAATGCTTGGGCATCAATTTTTCAAATTTTTTCCACTCGCATTCTGCAATGCGAAACAAAACAAAATCCAGCGGAAAAAACTTGGAAAATTTGTGCTCAATAATTCGAATAGAAGATATCTACGAGAAAAATTCAAGCAGAAATTTGCAATCTATTGACTTTTTCTTATTGAATATCCAATAGAATCAGCGCAGAAAACAAATATAATTTCAATAGAAATCCCATAGAATTCCTATAGAATTTTCTAGCGAATTCGCTAGGATTTCTATTGAATTTTTTCATGCGTGATGTCCTCTTGCATTTACTGCTGCATACAAATCATTGTTTTTATTATGTATTCGTTCTTTTCCTCCCTCTCAACCAACGTCATGTACGATCGTCTGTTTCTCACTCGTTATTCTATCTTCGTTCCTAGTCTGCGGACATACCACCTTCACGAAAAAATTTAATAGAAAAACCTAGCGAATTCATTAGAAAATTTCAATAGAAAAATCAATAGAATTCGATTTTTCTATATGACTTATTCGCTTCAGATATTTTCTATAGAATTTCCTTGGCTAAAATTTCCCGTTTTTTTCATTCTATTTTTTTTCTTCGCATCAAGAAAATCAAATAAAAAAATTGGAAAATTTGAGCCGAGAAAATTCTATAGAAAATATCTCAATAGAATCGGCCCAAAAACTAGTTCAATGGAAATCCAATAGAATTGTCTAGCGAGTTCGCTAGGTTTTTCTATTAAACATTTCCTTTGCATATTTCCTCTTATTATTTATTTCGCCCCAAAATATTTAAATAAACACTCATTCTTAATTAAATGGCTTGTATTTAACATTGGTATCAGAAGTGGTATTCGAACCGATATACACGTATGAAAAAATTCAATAGAAAACCTAGCAAATTCGCTAGAAAATTCGAGTGGAATTCTATGAGGTTTCTATAGGATTTCTATTGGAATTCTATTGAAAAATTCTATTTGTTTTTTGCGCTGATTCTATTGGATATTCGATAAGAAAAAGTCAATAGATTTCGAATTTCTATTTGAATTTATTTCTTGAGATTTTTTCTATTAAAATTATTGGGCACAAATTTTCCAAAAATTCCGAGAAACTCCCAAACAGAAATTCAAAATCTATTGACTTTTTCTCATCGAATATCCAATAGAATCAGCGCAAAAAACAAATCGAATTTTTCAATAGAATTCCAATAGAAATCCTATAGAAAAGCCATAGAATTCGTATAGAATTCCAATAGAATCTTCTAGCGAATTCGCTAGGTTTTCTATTTAATGTTTTCATGCACGTAATCTTGTAAATTTTGGAAATTTGAAAATGAATATTGGGGATAAACTCAGCGAGAAGACGAATGACCACTCGATCTACGTGAGATGCCTCTGCGACAATTAATTAATCAACCAAAGATTACAGCGATTGTCATACCTATGCGTGAGAGCATGTGCGACTGTTGTCATTGGAAAGGCCAACATTGACACTAGTCCGTGTGGGTTCCCCCACTGTTCACAGCTATAAAACAAGGCACCGACCGGACTAAGAGTTTATTACACGCGAGTTGGTCATCATGGTCACATTCGACTTGTTTATCTGCTGTCTATTATTCACGGCTGTTTGTGCGGCTCCTGCAGAAGGAGGTACTGAAGAACAAAATTCCGAATAAATAAATGAATTTCTATTTCTTTTTTTCTATTTTTTTTTATCGTTATTTTACATCGCTTCGACCCGGTTAGGGTATACTGCGATGATGATCAAGACTTTAAATGGTTAGATCGCACCATTCTACCCGGCCGGGATTTGAACTCGGAACCTTTCGCATGTGAGGCAACGAACTTACCCACTGCGCCAAGCCACCGGGCAAATGAGAATGATTAAATTATCTTCATTATTTGTCAATATCGTAAGGTTGACGCGGGAATCATTTTAACATTTTTGATGTTTTTCCGTTGAAGAATGTGATAAAACCAAATGCAACGGACCCCTACAATTCTACGAAGAATTATCCTGCAAGCCAGTTTACAAAAACGAGGATGACTGCTGTCCCTACAAATACAACTGTGAAAACTTGAATGAGAGATCGACCGATAAGTGTTACTACAAGGGACATACGTATGAAATTGGGGATCATTTGCGAGAGGAGGACGCGGCCCCCTGTGACATTGCTTGCTCCTGCCAGAAAGGCCTAGGAGTGTCAGTGTAAAAAATCAGTACTCAGTTTACGAGGAATATTTCCGAATGCAAGGCAGATAGCAAACATTTCGTAACGACCTTTTCTGTAGCTCTTACTTTGCCCTAAAAAAAAGCTTGTAACGGAAATTTAGCTATTTGCCTTGGATTCCGAGATATTCATGGAAAACTGGCCGACAGTCAAAATGGACAGTTTGGAAAATTCAAAGTGAATGGTTTATATTCCAGTGCTGGGTTCACCTGCGCCGTTGTCGACTGTTTCTCTCCCCCCCCGCGCTTTGGCTGCTATCACGTTAGGAGCTCCTTAAATTGCTGCCCCGGGCCTGAAGTTTGCCGTGAGTATCAATGACACACATGAAAAAGTTCAATAGAAAACCTAACAAATTCGCTAGAAAATTTTATTGGAATTCTATAGGAATTCTATTGAAAAATTCTAGTTGTTTTTTGCGCTCATTCTATTGGATATTCGATAAGGAAAAGTCAATAGATTTTGCATTTCTGTTTGGAATTTTCTCTTGAGATTTCTTCTATAAGAATGCTGGGGGTCAATTTTCTACGTTTTTTCCATTCGGGTTCTATAATGCAAAATAAAACAAAATCCAGCGGAAAAAACTTAGAAAATTTGTGCTCAACCATTTTAATAAAAAAAATCTCGAGAGAAAAATTCCAACAGAAATTCAAAATCTGTTGACTTTTTCTTATCGAATAGACATTCGAATAGTATCAGCGCAACGAAGAAATAGCATTTTTTAATAGAATTTCAATAGAAATCCCACACACGAAGAGAAATATTCAGTAAAAATTACGTAACAATTGGCGTAATCCGCAATGGAGAATCGTTTTCCGGCAATTTTTAGACGAATGGAAGAGAAGAAATCTGAAACTTTCAGTGAATTTTCAGCTTCATCACCGAAGAAAGTACGAAATTGTCACGTAATTTTTCCCGAAGAAGTAAAATCTTACAGAAACTTGCCGACTTATTATGCCTCGAAAATAAAAAATTCTTGAACGTTCAACAATTTTTATGAAGATAGTGAGTTATTTCTACGTTCCGTTCCGTACAATTTCTTAATCGTTGGGGAAAAGTTACGGAACGACTTGTCCCCACAGCGGTGAATCATCAGACGAGTGGTTAATTTTTACGGAACAAGTCGTAGAATTTCCGTGGCGATTCGTACAATTTCAGTTCCGACTCACACTTATTATTGAATTTTACTTCGCTCGCGGATTACGTTTCGAAACGTAATCTTCACGTTTTTTTCTGGTAACTTTTATTGAATTTTTCTCTCCGTGCAGAAACCCCATAGAATTCCTATAGAATTCCAATAGAATTGTCTCGAATTCTTCGAGAATATTTAAATTATTGGAACGTTTTTATTTCAGCCGAAACCGCTGAAGATTGGCCAACCTGCGAAGTGGACGGAAAGGTCTATAATGCAAGTGAGTACTTCGTACCTGCGGCAGAACCTGATAAGGACTGCTATTGTATGGATGGATACAACGGTAATGATTTAATCCCTTTAATCCCTCATTTGACATTGTTATAAGTCCATTTGATGCTACAGGGAGAGGGAACGGAGGGGACCTGTGACCCTCAAAATGGACTATTTGTAATCGTCTAAAATTCTACTGGGTTTCTATTAGTTTTTGGCCGATTCTATTAAAATGTTCAATAGAAAATATTTAATAGAAAAAGTCAATAGAATTCGATTTTTCTATATCAATTATATCGATTTTTCAATTTCAACTTAATTACGACTACCCACAATGATGTTAACGCGATGTTTAACCTGTAATAATAATAATACTAACAAGAATAACATCAAATATTTTCTACAGAATTTCTACAACTCAAATTTTCCAAGTTTTCTCAATTATTTTTTTTTTTATTGGTTTATAGTATAGAACCCGTAGCAGGGTTGTTTACACTGTCGATAGACGAGGTTTTCGGACATGTTCGTGTGACATTGGTTATCTTTTGATAATTACATATTGCTGTTTATATGCGGAGTTTACATTTCGTTAAGAATTTGTCTATAGCTATGCGAGCTTGGGAGTCGGTTGCCACCATAAAATGGCAAGTCCAGTACGGAGAAAAATATCTCAGTGATTTCAGTTTGGCTGTTAGTTTTTCTCTATTCTATTTTTCTCTTTTTCTCATCAAGAGAATCAAGCAAAAAACTTGGAAAATTTGAGCCAAGGAAATTCTATAGAAAATATCTCAATAGAATAAGTTACATAGAAAAATCGAATTCTATTGAATATTTTCTGTTAAACATTTCAGTAGAAGAAGAATTAGAATATGCGCAGCTGGTCACTTAAAGCGCCCAGAGTCACCTAAATCATACGATCTTTTGTAACATCCGCCTTAGTTTCGGTCAGTCACACAGCCCCAGCCCTGTGTTTCTCACTAGGCTAATAAGGCTGGTGACAGCCACTTGTTGTAAGTCCTCTGGTTCCAGGAAGGCCTGGCCCCAGATTTTATAGCGACGGTGTGCTAATAGGGGGCATTCACATAAAATGTGGATGACGCCCTCCTTATCGCCTCCGCACAGTCTACAGTCTTCTTGTTCTGCAAAACATTTCAGTACAATCCGCCAAAAATCCAATGGAACTTTCTAAAGATTTCGCCAAGTTGTTCTATTAAATTTTTGCATCTGTGTCAAGCACCTCATCATCATTAAAATCAAGACTAAATTCGTCACTAGCTCTGGAGACATCGAAGAGTCAACAACTAGTCTTTTTTTCGCAGGTGAAAACGTCGAACCTTTCTGCACGACTCGAGGCTCCGCGTCGTGTGGAGTAGAACTTCGTCATGCCTACGAGATTCACCACAACTGCCCGCCGGTCTTTTACAGCTCCCAATCGCCGCAGAAAGACTGTGCAGTGAGCTTCAGATGTCGTAAGTCCATCGTTTCTCGTGATTGGTGAATCCTCCTTCTCCAATTGAAATTGTTTATTTCAAATTGATTATAGAAAATGATAAAGACGAAGTCATCAACTCTCAGGGAACTTCCGACGCTGTGGACGCAAAGTCCGCAGCGAGCGAGGAGAAAGACATGTGCAAATTTGGAAATATCAGTATGAGGCTGGGTGAGGAGCTCAATCAGGAAACAGACTATAGCTCGGTTTGTGTCAAGTGTGTCTGCGAGGTACCACCGATACCCACCTGTCAACGGCTGCCTGATGATGTCTGCGATATTACCGATCACCCGAAATTTAGCTAGAACCTCTGAATAAGAGAAGTTGAGTTTTGTGTTTTTGAGAAATAAATGATTTTTTGTATTCTCGATGATTTTCTTCATTTCTTCAATACCTTTTCACCAACTTCTGATGAGAATTGTATTTTTCAGAAATAAATTTTTTTTTGTATTTGAGTTTATTAATTCCTTTGATGTCGTCTCATATGTGATGTGAGGAGATATTCACCACGTCGATTTTGTTTAATTAATCTTTTCTGTATGGAAAAAGTCCAAAACAAAGTCCAAATCAAAAGTCCAAACTGAGTCCAGCTTCTCAAAATGAAGCTGTTCCACTGGCTTGAACATTGTCAATGACAATATCAATAACGTGGTATTTCGTCTTTGTCCTTGACCGTTCAGCGGTTATGGATTTCCAGACAGGAAGTCACTTTATTGGCGAGGCGAGAGTCAAAATTAATTTTTGTTGGACCTTTTTATTGATCCATTTTGTTTTGTATCGCTACTAATTCCGTCACCGCTCACCGGACTCCATCGTGGGATGGATCCGGATTGACGTGGGAGTTTCTTAGTCTTTCTAATCGGGTCCCCGAAGTCCAGAGGAGTTTTGGGATACTCGGACTGATGTTTGGATGGCCCCGCACAGAAGCTAGTCTTGCATGAGGGACGATTATTCGGGAGATTGATCAACTTTGAGTGGAGCTGAACTCGGAACCTTTCGCTTGTGAATTTATTGTCCAATTGGTGGAGAGAGGGGAATCATGGTAGACGGCAAAAATAGACCAGGAAAAAATTGCCCACGCACCCAACACGTGCTAAAACCCACCCAATTTAAAAATTTCCCTTGCTCTGTTTTTTCTTTCCCTTGGTCTCTTTTTTCCGTGGTCTATTTTTTCCGGGATTCGTCCATCCTCGTTTTACGTGAGGAAAAAATTCAAGGTCGAGTTCTTAAAATCTGTGTCAAGGGGACGACCTTCACCCGTGTGTTCAATCCCAATTCCTGCAAAAATTTCACCTGCTAAACTACAATTTATGACCCCTGATATACGAATGTGTTTTGAACTCATGTTAGTGAAATGAGGACTAAAATTCATGGTGAGACACCAGCTCTTCTCTCAATACCTGTCTGAATATTTAGAAAGGTATGGAAGACTAGGTGACACTCCATCGCACATTGTAGTTGTTGCCACATAAATTTCCTGAGTCTTTTCATTATCAGCGCTTTGTATTCAACGTGTGTTATCGGAAGTTTCACCCAAGGTGAACAAACAATTCAATATGTTTGCAAGGAGGGATATACACACGACAAAATTTAATAGAAAAATGCAGTGAATTCGTTAGAAAATTCTATTCGATTTCTATTGAACTTTCTATTAGTTTTTGGCCAATTCTGTTGAAATCTTCAATAGAAAATATTCGATAGAAAAAATAAATAGAATTCGATTTTTCTATATGACTTATTCCCTTCAGATATGTTCTACAGAATTTCCTCGGCTCAAATTTTCCATTTTTTTTTTCTATCAAGAAATACTGCAGAACATTTCAATCGAATCGGCACAAAACTAATAGAATGTTGAATACAAATCCAATAGAATTTTCTAGCGAATTCATTAGGTTGTTCTATTAAACTTTTTCATCCGTGTACTCGAAATATTAATCAACGTATTCATGGTAACTAATCATGAATGATTCTGGATTTGAAAATTTTTTATTTGTTATTTCTTTTCCTATTCTGTTAATTTTTTTTTTCATGTTCTAAAAATCAGTACAATTATTCTACTCCTGTTTATTAAAGATGAAAGAAACGTGAAGTTGTTTTATATCGACACATCTCGAAACTGCCTGACCGCTAATCCTCAATTCTGATTGGTCAATGAGTCGCGTGAAGTAGTCACTGAAAAAACTCCCCGCTATTTTCAAATTTTTCAAATGCCAAAAATTTATTCTGCGTCATATTTTTCATTTTTCCATGTGTGAAGATTATCTTTGTATCAAAGCATATCTAAATTGCCTAATTATTGATCAGGAGAAAAAAAAACAGTATTTCTATTTTTTTTTACTCCCAAATTATTCTTCTCCTCCCAAATTTTAATTTCTTCATATTTATCATACGCGAAAATAATCATTTCTTGTTTCTCAGATGTTCATATATAAATTCTAAACTCTACAATATTTATGAAAATTTTTCGGTTTCCCAAGTAATTCGAGAAAAATCTTTAAAGAGTATGGTTATCTGGAAAACTGTTAAATTTTCCGAAGAATTCAAGAAATTTTTTCAGTTTTCTAGGAAATCAATTCATAACCCTCCCCTAATTTTTCAACAATTACAGATTTTAATCAGATTATTTCGACAAGTAAAAAAAAAAAGAATTAATCGAAGGTTAAAAATGATTCATTGATGTTTCACTTTTCATTCTCGTAATTCTCATTAAGTCATTATCTATATTTATAAAACATCTATGAGTATATGAAGTTTAATAAATTCGATTTCTTCATTTTCACGACGAATAGATAAGCGCGCATACAGGTCTAGTATCTTATAATAGCTTATGTATTCTCCATCATGTCTCCCGCTTTTTGGAAGAACCAAACGTCTCTAATACATTTTTAGCGAGAAAAAAGTAAGCAGTCGGAATCCTCATGAAAATACTTGCATAAGTGAATCATATCAGTGGAAAAACAAAAGACATCGTTTTTTTTCTGTTATTCAACGACAATCGGCGGGGAACCCCCATACAGTAAATAGAATAAACCACGCGGAAAAGAAGACGTGAGCACTAAGAAGCTTGCAAATCGATGAGCCGATAAGGAGAATAAAAAGACGTGTCACCGCTTTATTTATTCTAAAAATGCGTTGACCCCTTTGTCTTGAGGAAAGATTCAGTCAAATATAAAGGAAGGCGAACAGGGGATCTCAGTCATTCTGATCTGAGTCGTCATGAATTCGTTCATCACCATCTTCTGCCTCTGTGCATTAGCCGCGAATATTGCCGGCACATTTGCTCAAAGTGAGTTGTCACCCGTAACTATTTTTCCATCAATTTCAAATCTTCTTTTGGAGAATGAAAAAATCATTTGTTCCCTTCAGGAAGCGACGATAAGGATTGCCCAGGACCTTTGAAATTCTACAGAGATCTACGATGCAATCCCGTTTATGTCTCTTCCACCGATAAATGTGCGGTCAAATTTGACTGCAAAAGTATTGATAATCGTTCACCAGACAAGTGCTATTTTGGCGGTAAGGAGATCAAGGTTGGGGAGGGACTTTCTGATGAGGATAGAGCTCCATGTGATCGGTGTACCTGTGTTAAAAGTGGAAATTAGTAAGTAATAGGGGCGAGTGAGGTAAAATGGCCGGCTTTATGAAATTTATGAAAAAAAAATTTACGAAAAAAAAATTCAAAGAGAATTAGAATTTAGAGAGAAAAAATGCCGCACCGCCCAGACGGGATTCGAATCCGGGTTTCCCAGTTACGCGCCGGGTACTCTCCCAACTGTTTTTTTAGACCAAATACGTTTATTCACCTTCAAAAATACAATACCAGCTAAATAATAAGTTAACGACCGACTGTAATGGTTAGGTGGGTGCGGTGTTGCTCCGGCCGACATCCAAGCTAAGCAGCGGTGAGTTGGGTTAGTACTTGGATGGGTTAGTACTTGGATGGGAACACCTCACTCGCACAAAAATTACGGGCGGGGTAGGTACGGTGTAGCGGCCTAGTGTCTCCATCTAGTTAGTGTGACAGATGGATATTCTTCTTCTTCTGTTCGGTATGGTTATATCCTCTGACCATGAAGAATAGTCTTCATGCCTCTGACTATTGTAGAGGCAAGCACCATTGACAGATGGATATATTAGGGCACTGCACAATCGGCCGGCTGTGCGACTGGGGTTTTACATGGTTTCCCGTGCAGTTCTAGCTCGAATGGGGCACAGCTAAGAGTAAGACGACCATGATACCGCAGATAACAATGAGGGGAAAGAAAGGAGGGGAGGCAGGCTAGAGGAGGGGTTTCAAATCGAGAATTACTTCGATAAAACCAATGAAATAGAAAAATAAAAAAAATATAAGTTAACATATTTAAACTGATATCCATTACAATTAAAGATTCACAGTTCTAAAAACAATCGGAATCAATAAAATATCTAATGTTTATAACATTATTATACTCCGTTTTTGAAAGAGTGAACAGTTTAAATGAGTATTATTAAAATAAATACTAGACCAATTGGATAAATTCTCGCTTCTGTTTAATGCGCCCCCAAAAATAGGTCATCAAAAAAAGGGCTGGCACTCTCCCAATTAAGTTATCGGGAACTACGGAAATCCTCTCTCCAAATTCGCCAGAAAACACCGCCTAACCACCTTTAGGCATTAAATCAATTCAAAGAGAATTAGAATTTAGAGAGAAATTTATAAAATTTATGAAGTTTATAAAATTGACAATATTTATGAAATGTATGAAATTTATGAAATTATATTCATCAGTGCAAGATTTGCTTGTGCGATCGTTGATTGCTACCGCCCAAATCCTCAACCAGGATGCTATCAACAGCGAAACGCGACCCAGTGCTGCCCGGGGCTGTCTCTGATATGTCGTGTGTATATTTTTAAAAACATTTGACTTGAAATTGTTGAATTATTCTTGGCATGATTGAATGCTTCATGAATGTAATTTCAATGTAGCTAACAATCCACGAGACATCCCCACGTGCGAAGTTGACGGTAAAGTTTACAAGGACGGAGAGTACTTTGAACCGGCTTCGGAGCCGAACAAAAGATGCTTCTGTGGCCCTGGATATACTGGTAATTTATTAAAATAATTTTTAGGGGTAATTTTTGAGAAATATATGAAACTTTCAGAGAATTACATATATTTCTATTTTTTTTAGATTAATGTAAGAAAAAGTCTATAAAATTGCATTTCTCTTGAACTTTTATTCTATTAGTTTTTGGAGGATTTTTTTTCAATAGAAAATTTCTATAGGAATTTCGCGACGAGAATTTTTCAAATTTTTTCCACTCTTTCTTCTCTTTCTCTTAATAAAAAATCAAACAAAAAAAATCTGGAAAATTTCAGCCGAAGAATTGATGTAGAAAAATCAAAATCTATTGATTGTATCTACAGAATATTTTCCATTGAACATTTTTATTACAAAAAAGGCTAAAGAAGCTGCAGAATTTTTCAATAGAATCGACCGAAAGTTGACCAGAAATCAAGTAGAATTTTCAAGCGAATCCGCTAGGTTTTAATTTTTTTCGTACGCGTTTTCATTTTCTGAACGCCTTCAGGACGAAATATCGCTCCCTTCTGCACTTCGAAATCGAGGGTTGAATGCAGGACTGAACTCTACTACAGTAGGCAAGTTGCTGAGAGATGTGCTCCTGTGTATGAAGCCAATCAATCACCTCAAACATCTTGCACATCGAAATTCAGATGTCGTAAGTCTCCTAATCCCTTGTGATTTCGAACAATCTTGATTTTACGATGGATATGATATCAGTTGTGTCATCATCTCATAATTCCAGAAACACCGAGCGATCAGGTCGTGCGGATAGATGGCCCCAAGCCCGAGGAGGTCTCATGTAAATTCGGCGATCTGTCGATGAATTATGGAGACGAGCTCAACATGGGTGACGACGTGAATTCAAAATGTGTCAAGTGTCGTTGTGAGGTGTCACCTACGCCCACATGCCAGCGTCTGCCCCGAGATAAGTGTCAGTGATTATCTTCAGACACCTCGTCAAACATCACGATCACTATTTTCTGAATGCATTCATCGATTTTTTTTTATTTATGAATTCATTGATTATGAGCTGATAATTATGGATGAAATAAAGTTGTTGAACGTGACATAATCCAGCGTTTTTTTCCTTATTGCTGTATTGCCGAATGGAAGCTTTGTTGTCGTTCAAGTTTGGGTTTTGGCTTTTTTGGGTGATGTCAACCCAAACCATTAAAGATTATAAACATTAAAATTTATATAGCGTTCCACATCTTTGTGACGTCATAGGAAATGATTGGACGGGATTTGGATGAGGTAGGAGGGGAGCCGCACGTATGAAAAAAAAAATCGTATAGAAATTTTCTATATGGATTGCGTATAGAATTTCTATAGGATTTTCGTATAGGATATTCGAATATTTCTATACTGATATTTTTTTACACAAATTATTTCTATACGATTTCTAGAGGTTTGATCCTATACGACCCACTGCCACATGAATAGAAACATTTCGTAAGGAGTTCCGATATTTCTCTTCGTTTATCTCTAGAGCGTTTAGACATCTTTCGTATGAAAACAAAAATTTATGTATGGAAATAGTTCGTATAGAAAATATTCGTATAGAAAAATCCGAATATCAATTATGAGAGAATGTGGTTCCCTATTTGATTTATAAGAAGAACATATATCAACTGATAAATATACTCATTGTCATATGTGAACAATCGGGTGCTCCCAACTGAGCTATCCGGCTCCTAGCCATTTCTTCATTTCAAATTTCTACTAAATTTCAGGTTCTAAAAAGTCCGGAAATACATTTTTAAATATTGTCCTGATTGAGTTTTTCTTCAATTGTTCGCTGACGAATCGATGGCATTCAATCATTTTTCCTCAAATGTAGGTATTGTTGCGCCCTATCCATCGACATTAATTAAAATTCAATTAATATTTTAATTATTAGAATATTCGATTTTTTTTTAACCAGTCGTCCTGCGATTACTAAAAAAAATGTTCTAAATTCATCGAATAATGGCTTTTAAAAATTGGTTTGATGTCCTTGACGAGGAAGAAAATGATGTGCAAATGATCATGCTATATTCAAAACCAATTACCATTTCTTTGAAGAGAAAAACATACTGACTAGCGTCAGAGTAATTCTTATCGGAAGAATATATTTTTCAGGACTTCCCCGATGAACACGTTAATTATTATTACTATTATTATTGTGCCTGTATATAAAGCCTGCAAGTGAAAACTGCATCATTCGGTGCATCTTCACTTGAAAGAGTAATGCAATTAAAGACCGCGATCGCAATGAAAATCCTTAAGCTTACGTTTTTGATGGCAATGATAGGTGCATTGATGATCTTCTCCACATCAGGTAATATATTTCAATTCCCCTGGAAATTTTATTTTCAACACTTTTATACAAAAAAAAATTGACTTATGAATTCAGCAGCGAAGTGGTCAAACCGTTTAAGTCGATGTTGGCTATTGGCCAGTTTTCAATAAATATCTCGGAATCTAAGGAAGAATGCAAAATTTTTCTATTAACCTTTTTAGTAGCACTCGATTCACTCTGCAAAAAAAGGTTATTAGAGGAGGGTGTGCCTGTACCGCTCAGCGGGTAATACCGCTCACCCGATTTTCTCCACAACCATCAACTTGAAAATTTCTCTCTGCTCCTGATCATCAAGAATTTGATGATAGGATGTGATTGTCGGAAAAATTTCACTTTATTTACCTCTTTAAATATGAAAAAAACACGTAACGAAGTTTTGAGGTTTTTACAGTGCAAAATTTGTGGACTTATAATTAAGGTTTTTGATAGTTTCAAACGCTGAATTCTCATATTAATCTGTGGTAATTTGATTCGTGGACTTTCGTGCGTAATTTGAGACCAATTCGAACTCAAAACTCCACTCATGTCAATAATTATCAATTATTTTGTTGACGCCGAGCGGAGCCGGTAATACCGCTCATAGGATCGGCCACGTAGTTGCTCGACAGCACTCAAGTACAGGTTAGGTTGCGGCGCGAGCGATACACGCAAAACCCTATGAGCGGCCTTGGAATCGTGCCGAGCGGTATTACCCAACGGCGGGTAGTACCGCTCAATAGGGTCTGTCTTTTATTTTCAATCAATTTTGTGGATTCTAAGGAGAATTAGGCGTCTACACTTCGAGAATAACGAATTCAATAGTTAAAGAAGTCTCACAAATACGTTTTTTATACTCAAGCTGAAATATAAAATATAAAACTGGCATTTCCCCTTAGGTGGGCGGTACAGGCACACCCTCCCCTATGAAAATTTCGCTATCTCCCTTAAATTCGGAAATATTTCTGGAAAACTCAACTGAAGACCAAATTGACTTAAATCGTTTGACCATTTCGCTACTGAATTAAATTATCAATTCATTAAATAACTGATTAATAATTTAATTGACAATTTAATTCATTAAATTATTAATTATTATTCTTAATTTTTGTAGTTGAGGGTTACGCTGTCGGTGAAGCCCAACATCATCGCCTCCAACGAGACGTACCTTGCGGCGGAATCAACATGAACAACTGCGGAACGATATGCACCGCCCAGGGAAAACGTCCCAACGGAATGTGTCAGATAGGCGCTTGCATTTGTATCTGAAATACCCGCAAATGAATAAAATGAAAAATCCCAAATACTATGTTTGTTGCGTATTATACCATTGAGTGACAAAACTCGGTTCTTCCCCGCGAGATAAACCAGGGGTATATAAATTCTGACCGCGTACTTAATCAGTCAAACTGAGTTTGTCAGATATTAGAGAATCTATCGTCATGGCGAAATTTCACGGATTCTTCGTTCTGGTGGCACTGGCCCTTGTGATTATTTCGGTTGCGGATGCAGGTGAGATTATAATGGTTATAATGGATTATAATGGTCTCGTTAATTGGTTTCTGTCCCCTCGCCAAAACAATTGGTTCCCGTCGACGTATTAAAAGATCGTATACAAATTTTCTATACGGATTGCGTATAGAATTTCTATAGGATTTTCGTATATGATATTCGGATATTTCTATACGGATATTTTTTGCACAAATTATTTCTATACAATTTCTATAGGTTTGATCCTATACGACCCACTGTCACATGTATAGAAACATTTCGTATGGAGTTGTGACATTTCTCTACGTTTTTCTCCGGAGCGTTTAGCCATCTTTCGTATGAAAACAAAAATTTATGTAAAAATTTATGTTTAGACATAATTCGTATAGAAAATATTCGTATAGAAATATCCGAATATCATAGACGGTAATCCCATAGAATTTCTATACGCAATTTGTATAGAAAATTTCTATACGATTTTTTCATACGTGATATCCCCTCGCAAATTTTGAAAAAATGAATGATTTTGATAATTCTATTGATAGTGTTCAATTTCATATGTCGTTTCCAATCCTATTCATGGTAAGAAAGAACGAAAGAATGAAAATTGTTATAATAGTCGCAATAAATGAATAAAATTCACTGCAAAAAAGATAAACGGTGGGGAAAAAATTATTCGGAAGCAAAAAAATTATAAAATTAAATTATCTCTAATCCGATGAAAAATAAAAATGCATAAAATAACAAGTGGATGAAATCAGCAAAACCCCAAAAAAATTATGAAAAAATATATAATATGGGCCAATTCCACATATTTTTCAAATTTATAAGGAACATGTAAAAAATATCTATAAAACATATATTTCCTACACAGAGAGAAATATTTAATAAAAATTACGTATCTTTTCCGTAATTCCGGAGCGAAATGTGGTTGTAGGAAATTTTACGGAACTGTCGCGGAATTTTTCCGAAGCGTTCCGTAATTTTTATCTGAATCTCTTGTGAAAAATTACGATATCGTTACTTAAATTTTCTGAGTCGATTCCGTAATCGGTGAGTGAAGTGAGAGTTTCGTAATTTTTACTGAACATTTCTCTCCGTGTATATATTTTTTATATAAATTGGGCCTATTTAAGATATTTTTTTATATATTTTTCCAAATATAACTTTTTCCGTGTGAGAACGTACCTCTGATTTCAGCCTACGGAGGTGCTGAAGAGGGACATTCTCGTATCCAACGGTCCGTGCCTTGCGAAAACATCGGTATGCACAACTGCGCCACAATCTGTGGTGCCAGAGGAAAACGTCCCACCGGAAGATGCGAAATCAACCAGTGCATCTGTTATTGAGAACAACGAATATTCTTCTTCATAAAAGACCGAAAATTATGTCTCAAATTATTGTAAAAACAGTTAGCGGAAAATATATGATTCTTGAAACCCATCAATCACAGGATTATCTAGTTTTACCGTCACAAAAGCCCCTTTTGTGCGAATAATCGTTGAATTTTCAATCACAACGATGATTTTGACGTATTGCCCTGTCCACCTTTTCCTCATATGCAAATATTGCAGTCGTATATAGGGGCGAGTTTTCAGCGATTGTCTCAGTGCGATTTTCAACAGGACTGTTTCGTAACGAAAACCGGTGATTAACTATGATTGGAAAAGTACAGATTTACTCTTTGGTAGTGATGGCGGTAATGATCTTCTTGATGACGCTATCCCCAGGTAAAATCATATTTTTTTTCACAGCAAAAACGAATGTCTGAACTGCACACACCATTTGTAGACATTTTTTAGACACTAAAAATGTCTGAATAAAATGAAAACATGTCTGAATTTCAGACGAACCGGTGCCCAAATATCTTAATTCATATTTGAAATTCAAATAAATTTTCATTTTATTCAGACGATTTTGCAGTGTCTGAAAAATGTCTACAAAAGGTGTGTGAAATTTAGACATTCGTTTTAGCAGTGTTGTCTCTAAATGGAAACTTTGTACACGAAGAGAAATTCTTTAGAAAAATTCGAGTGCTAGCACGGGAAAAGAGGCGCAACGTGACGGCCAGGAAAAAATTCCAGGGTCGGCACTAGAAATTTTATTGGGGAAAACGTGAATTTTTTCCCGTATTTGTGTGAAAATTTCACGGAAATCCCCAGAAATTTTACCAGAAATACCAAAAAATTTTACCTTACCAGCACTAGAATTTTTCACAGCCGGTGGATTGTGATTTTTTCCAGTACTCGTACTAGAATTTTTCTAGAAAATTTCAGTTTTGGATGTTTTGTGTTATATCAACCTATTATGATCCAAAAATTACGTGAATGTAAATTTTAGACCATATCCTAGTTTTTCTCTAATTGTTGGCAAATTAATTGATGGAATTTAATCTTTGTTTTGCAGGTATTTTTGAGTTTTGTTCATCGACATTAATTGAAATTTAATTCACGTATTAATTTTTAAAATTTACCAATTTTTTCAAAAAGCGTTTCACGTATGAAAAAAATCAATAGAGAACCTAGCGAATTCGCTAGAAAATTCTATTGGAATTCCATTGAAAAATTCTATTTGTTTTTTACGCTGATTCTATTAGACATTCGATAAAAAAAGTCAATAGATTTCGAATTTCTGTTGGAATTTTTCTCTTGAGATTTCTTCTATTAGAATTATTGGGCACAAATTTTCCAAATTTTTTTCGCTGGATTTTGTTTTATTTTGCATTACATAATCCGAGTGAGAAAAACTTAGCAAAATGATGCCCAAGCATTCTTATAGAAAAAATCTCAAGAAAAAATTCTAAACGGAAATTTGTAATCTATTGACTTTTTCTTATCGAATATCCAATAGAATCGGCGCAAAAGCCAAATAGTATTTTTCAATAGAATTCCTATATAAGTTTTACAGAAAAGCCATAGAATTCCTATAGAATTCCAATAGAATTTTCTAGCGAATTCGCTAGGCTTTTCATTGAATTTTTTCAGGCGTGATTGTCCCACGATAACTCGAAAAAATGTTCTGAATTCATTGAATTCATGTTCTGAATTCATTGAATGATGGTTTGTTTCGATGCCCCTTTGACCGAATTTGAAGATAAAGGCGATAGTCGTAATCATTGTTTTTTTCAAAATAATGTGTTTATTATATTTTAGTGTCCGGCGCCGGGCCCTTGAGACCACCTCAGTGCATACTTTGTCGTAGTGGAGAAGCCTCATCGTCAAGCGAATCATCAAGCTCATCAAGCGAATCTCGTTAACGATCAAAATTCCGTAACTACCTTGAAGTAGAAAATAACGGCAATTCCATTCGACGAATCTTCATTTTAATGTTTAAATCACGAATTCTATATTTCTTTTATTAGTATCTTTGCACGATTGAGAGCATTATGAGCGTGTATGATGATGAATAAATTACCCAGATAGAAAATATTGCCGTTCTGTTTTTCTGTTGCATTCCTTTTTTTTTATAGAAGTAACTCAATTACGAACAAATTTTATAGAAAAACCTTGTGCACTAGCTAGGAAATTCTACAGGATTTCGTTTCGTTTTTTCCATACAAATGGTAAATGGAAAATATTCTACAGAAATCTCTCGGCTTAAATTTTAAGCGAAAAGAGGCGAAAAGTTGAATGGGAAAAACTTGAAAAATTCTAATAGAAAATAACCTAATAGAAAAAGTTGCATAAAAAGATGAAATTTTACTGGTTTTTTCATTGAAATATTTTCGGTCCAGCCGTTATTATTCCGACGATTGTTTCCCCTCCAATTTTAACCAATCATAGCTCAACCTTTGGGATCATCTGACATGTCGAATGAATCTCGAATAAATTCGAAGGTCTTTCGTTTATTTTTTCCACGGAACAGAAAACAATTGTTTGCAATTCATTATTATTCATATATAATGAGCTACAACAGTTTGTTTTGTCTGGTTTTCCTGCTAAAAATTCATGGCAAGTGTTTACCATTTTCGAATCTCATTTCCAACTTCACTATCTCGACATTTTAACAAGCTTGTGAATTATGATTGAGTTATTGTTCGTAACAAAGGTTTGCTCTCCATTCAATATTTTTTTTTAGGCAAATATCGTGGCGTATATAAGACCACGATCTCAAATTTTTGTATCCAGTGAAGCTTGATGAAGAATTACTGGGGGTGATAATCAATTATAATGGAGAAAGGTCTGATTTCCATTTGGATTGCGATAATGGCGTTCGTATTTTTGGCAGCTCTATTCCCAGGTAAAATTATTTCTTCTGACTTTCTTCAATGGAATTTAATCTCAAATAATTTTTTTCATTTTAGCGGAAGGACACCCAATACCGGGTCCCCCCATGTGCATACTTTGCCGCTGACAGGAATCAACCGCATTTTCCCAAGTGTTAATTCCATTTTCATCATGAAATGGAAACCGATGTGTTTTGCAACGAACGAAAAATAATGAAATGAAAAAATTTTTGCACTATGAAACCCACTAATTCCAGACAATTCATTATTAAAACTTCTCATCAATCGATTTTTGCATTTTTTCTTCCGAATAGAAGCATTGTAATCGTTTAAATTTAAGTTTTGATTTGTTTGTGTTATATCGACCCGTTATGATCCAAAAAGTTCAAAAATACATTTTTTGGAATAGTATATTTCGATGCAAGTGCGACGGGGGGTAACGAGTGTGAAGTTGGCGGCCCGAGGCGAAGCCGAGGGCTGCCAATCACACGAATTAAAACACCCCGTCGCACGTGTATCCGCACTATTTTTTTGTTAGTGATGTTACGTTCAGCGAGTGTCGAACTGTGCCATTTATCGTTTACCAGTAAACGAAAAGGCACTTTTCGACACGGGCTGAATGTAGCAGCAGTGACAAAATAGTATATTTCGTAACGAGTGCAAAAAACATTTTTTCACGAGTTACGAACGATATTTTTTGACACGAAGTGCGTGGGCGGTGTTTCACGAACGCTGAGCGAAGTGAATCGAAAGCGTGTATCGAAAATATTATTCGATACACGGAAGTGAAGAACTTTTTCTGGCGAATATGATTATAGAACTCACCTTCGGCTCGTTCTGTAACCTCATATTCGCCAGAAAAGTTCTCGACGCCCTAGTATCGAAATGTACTATTTCATCACAATGTGCCGGAAAGTGGACTTTTAGGGACGGGGAGCGTGGCGACAAGTTCACTTTTCGTCACAGCGTGATGAAATAGTATATTTCGTAACGACTGCAAAAAACATTTTTTCACGAGTTACGAACAATATTATCCATCACAATGTGCCGGAAAGTGGACTTTTAGGCACGCGGAGCGTGCCGAAAAGTTCACTTTTCGTCACAGCGTGATGAAATAGTATATTTCGTTACGAGTGCGGAAAAGTGTTTTTAGACTCGTGGGATTATATCACTCGCCTTCGGCTCGTGCTATAAACCTCCCACGAGCCAAACAACACTTTTCCCACGCCCGGGTAGAAATCACGCCGCTCGAGCTCGCCTCGGAACCCGTATCCCAGCTAGAAATACGCCACTCCGCCCCAGCTTGGGATAAACTCCACGCGCGTCACATGTACCCGAGGTTGAGCCGCGTCACCCGCTCACAGCCCAGCGTTAGACTATTACGCGAAACGCTTCACCGGGCTTTAGTTGAATGGCCACTGCTCAACCTCAGGTTCATCTCCAATTACTCAATCCCAGTATACTTAACCTCAATAATGATTTGACAGGTCCGATGGCATCGTGATTTGAGCGAAAAAACAATCGAATAAATGTGAAGATGGCATGCTTTTTCAGATGAACAATCACAAGCTCATCAGAAATAACGTGATATTAACTAATCGAATGGGATTAATCTGAAAATACAAGGTAGAACAATTCACTGAAACGTAGTCAAAACTTTCTTTTTTCTCGCGAATACAAAAAACAAAATCAAGAAAAATAATCACTTGAAAAACGTTAACGAACCTTTATTATTAATTATCAACGCTACAGGAGAGGATATTCTTCATTTTTCGATAGGCCTACGAG